TCTCTAACATAGCTGATTTGCTCACCTTTGGTGGATTCCATTTCAAGGTGCATGAATCAGCAGTCACGTTGGAGATTTCGAGAGGGCCAGAAGGACTGGAAGGTGGACCCTTGACATCCACCTGAACTGCCACCTGATCCTTACCCTTCTCGTTCTCTAATGCCACCTCGAACCGTCCGCTGTCGTCCTTCTCTGCCTTCTTGTCGGTGATGATAACTTCGTCGGGGGTTATCTGAACATCGAAACGATCACTCGGCAATGGCACCGGTTTGCCGTCCTTGAACACGGTAACAAAGATAAAGACTGTTTAAAAAATTTTATCGCGCAAATAACACAAGCAACGAGGTGTGAGTATATCCGATTCACAGAACATAAGACCTACAAAAAGTCGATTCTCTGAAACAATTCTTTCACTCATCCTACTTTGGACTGAAAACTGATTTCTTTCGAACGAACAGATCACTGTTACAAAAAGAACGATTTTTCGTTCTCTCTCGTTATCCGCATAGAATTGCCACACTCAGATCCTAGGGTCTCGAAGAACTTCATACTGGTTAAGGTACAAACCCTTTTTGATGATGTGCCCCTCCATTGAGCTCAGGCTCATTATCCATGGTGGGAGCCTACATGTACATTTTTTTAGCTTACCGCTAACATTTGCAAATTTCATTGCTAATCAACCAACCTACCTTCGTCAAGGTAACTGAATCCGGTGGTGTGCCCATGTAGGGAACAACGATCTTGAAGGGCTCTCCCTCTTTAGCCGTGATGTCCTTCTTTACGTCCAAGATCTTTGGAGCAGCTGAAATGAACACGCATACGGAAAGCGGATAAAAACCATGACTTGGCAGAAATACAGTGGAGATATGCGAGGTAAGGTGGATTAATGGATTACTCACTCGGGGGCTTCTGCACCTTCACGACATCCGTGGGCTCACTGGGCTCACCCTCACCGGCTGCATTGATTGGCACAATGCGAAACTGGAATTCTTTGCCTGTAGGAAGACCCTTTACGGTGTAAGAGTTTCCGGTTATTGTGCCTGGATTTGCCCTATAAGTCACAGAAATATACACACAATAATCTGAGTGTCTTCAAGATGGTTCATGCAACTGGACCGTCACAACAAGCGAACTACAAACGTACTTGCTCCAAGTCTTCTCCCCTTTCGGTCGCTTTTCGACTATGTATCCGGAGACCGGACCCTTCCTTGGAGGCTCCCATGACAGTGAAACGGAGTCCTCAGTAGTTGTGTCAACGTTGGGTTTATCCATGCCACTCGGGGGATCTTAAAAATTTACGAGGAGTATGAAAAGTATTAAAGTGTCCTATAGTAGAACCAAAAGTGTAGTTTTATGTCTTAATTTTATATACATATATGTCGTTAGAGTTTGAGATTGCAAGTGCTGCTAAGACCGTGCAGGATTGCAAACGTACCAAATGGATGCTTGGCCTTAATAGGCTTGCTGGTCATCAGAGGCTCACTTAGTCCCATGGCGTTTTCGGCCATCACACGGAATTCGTATTCTTTGCCTTCCTCCAGACCTCGAACTGTGGCCGAGGGAGTTGTAAGGAAAGCGCTGACTTTCTGCCACCTATACCGATGAAAAGAGGAAACATAAGTAAACTTTTCCAACCTTTCATCAAGAGGCTGGAATAACACTACTGTCCATCCGTAGCGTTAGCTTACTCAGTTGCTCCCTTTGGACGTTTCTCCAGAACGTAATTTGTGATGGGCTCGTTGCCGTCATCTTCGGGGGCCTTCCATTCGAGAGTTATCTCATCAGCTTTCACATCGCTCGCTTCTAGCGGACCGGTTGGAGCTGCGGGTACATCTGGAAAAACGATAAGAGTAAAAGGCCAATCCATTGTCGAAATTTGAATATGCAGAGCTTAAAGTGAAACCTATTCAAATAGCAGATATGAGGAATAAAACTCGAGGTAGAGAGCAAGGGAAAAAATCAGCTGCCCCCTATCTTTATGAGCAAGCTTACCCTGGACAATAACTTTGCAGGAGGATGTAGCCTGACCCAGGTCATTTTTAATGATGACCTGGTAAGTTCCAGAGTCGGCGCGCGATGCCTTTGGCACCTTGAAAACGGAAGTACCGCCAGGTGACTCCTCCAAGGGCCCACCTAGTAGAGGCTGAGCTGGACGGGCGGCTGGCTCGATAGGTTGATTCACGCGTGGATCATTCGAGGGCACCGGCTTATCGTTATGAACCCAGCTGACCGTAGGCTGCGGATG